CACCTCTCCCTCATCTGCCACTTCCTCTTCATTCACCTGCCTTCCTCATCTGCCTTCATTCTTTGCCTCTAATGAAGATACCGGATGGGTCCCTCTACTTTCCCCAATCCATCTTCCTAATCCTAGGTCGGGTAGCTCTACAAACATCCTTGTCAAATCTTTGAAGAAGGATTCACCCATTCAGAGTGAGCTCAGCGGGCAGAATTAATTCCAGTGGTGGGGAGAGGAAGTGGTTGAATGCATGCCCTGGGGCTCAGATGGCCCTGGGTTCAAATCCTAGTTCCTTCACCTACCATCTGGTGAGACACTGGCCATGTCACATTTTCTCATCCATGAAATGGGGACAAAAACAGAACTCAAAGTTGAACCAGATTACTTTTAAAGGTTCTTCCAACCTTGACACTTTATCATTTTAAAGCAACCTCTGCTCAAAACCTTTCAATGATTCCTACCACCTACCAAGTTGAGCGTAGAAACCAGTTTCTCCAGATACTGGTTCTAGTCTACCTTTTATATCTCATCTTTCTCAACTCAACTCATACTTGCCCTGCAGAAACCCCTAGCTCTTACATTCCTACCTTCATATTTGCTATTCCCTCTGTCTGTAATACCCTCCAGCATTCTATAAACAAACACTCCATGAAAATGTGAAGCGTTAATACCTCTACCTGTTGAAACTTACCCATCTGTTTTCATTAGGAAATCTGTTTTCATTGCAAGTTACAAAAAGCCCAACTCAAACTACTCAAATTATAAAGACGTATTGCTTCATGGAAAAGTCCAGAGGTGGGTCAAGCTTCAAGTATGGCTTTATCAGGTCTCTGGCTCACTTTTTCTGCAATATTTTCTCAGTCCTGCCCTCCCCCATGTGACAGTTTTGTTCTCCGGCTGGCTTCCCTCATGTGGCTGTGATGGTTAATTTACATGTCAATTTGACTAGGCTAAGGTATGCCCAGATAGCTGGTAAAACATTCCTGGGTGTGTCTGTGAAGGTGTTTCTGGAAGACATTAGCATTTGAATTGGTAGACTAAGTAAGGAAGATCACTCTCACCAATGTGGGTGGGTATCATCCAATCTGTTGAAGCCTAAATAGAACTAAGAGGTGGAGGAAGGGCAAATTCGCTCTCTTTGCTTGAGCTGAAACATCCATCTTCTCTTGCCCAGGACATTGGACATTGGTGCTCCTTGTTCTTGCGGTTTTGGACTTGGACTGAATTACACCACCAGCTTTCCTGGTTCTCTAGCTTGCAGATGGCAGATCTTGAGACTTACAGGCCTTGAGACTTGTAACCATGTGAGCCAATTCCTATAAAAAATCTCTTCTTATATATATCTCTAGATAGCCTATTGATTCTCCTTCTCTGGAGAACTGTGACTAATACAGTGGCTAAGAAAAAATTGTGCTGCAACTCTAGGCACCATACCCTATACCACACTATCTGGAAGGCAAAAGAATGTCTCTTCCTCATTCTTCACCTTTATTGGACCAACAATGGTAGGTCCTTAATAATTATGAGATAGGATAGTATAGTGATTCAGCATGCAAGCTCTAAAGTTGGACTTCACCATTTACTAGCTGTGTGACCTTGGGAAAGTTAACCTCTGTGCCACAGTTTCCTCATCTACAATAGGGATTATAATACTACCTACCTCATAGGTAGTGCCTCATAGGTTGTGGGAATTAAATAAACTTGAAAAGGGCTTAGCAACTAGTAACTTTCCATGTTAGCTAGTGATGCCAACATATTTCCTCAGAAACATCTCCCTTCATATTGTAATCTTCAGAGATTCTTCTGGACGACACAGAGTATTCCTAACATAGTTAGGAATTCATAGTTATTCATTCAGCAAATATTAAATGAGGACCTGCTGTTCTAGGTACTGTGGAATGAGCAAAACAGACAAAATCCTGTCTTTGTGGAGATCACACTACAGTGGAAGGTGGGGATGCGAGAGAGACAATAAACAAATGAACATGAAAAGGTGGTGATAGGTGCTTTGGAGAAAAATCCAGCAGGAAAGAGTGTGAGGAGGTGAAGAGGAGTGGGGTGTTGCTATTTTAAATGTGGGTCAAGGAAGGCCTCTCTGAGGAAGTGACATTTGTGACCTGAAGGAGGAGTGAGCCATACTAATATCTTGGAAGAGAGCATTTGAGGCAGATACAACAGCAAGCACAAAGGCCCTGAGGTTAGCAGTGTGCTTGGCATGTCAGAAGTACATGAAGGAGACCAGTGTGGCTGAAGCAGAGTGAGAGGAGGTGAGAGCAAACAGGGGATAAGGTCAGAAGAGTAGCAGGGGGCAGGTAATACAGGACCTTATAGGGGGCTGTCCTGGTGGCGCAAGTGGTTAAGTGCACGCGCTCCGCTGCGGCAGCCCGGGGTTCACTGGTTCGGATCCTGGGCGTGCACCAATGCACCGCTTGGCAAGCCATGCTGTGGCGGAGTCCCATATAAAGTGGAGGAAGATGGGCATGGATGTTAGCCCACGGCCAGTCTTCCTCAGCAAAAAAAGAGGAGGATTGGCAGATGTTAGCTCAGGGCCGATCTTCCTCACACACACACACACAAAAAAGATTAAAAAAAAAAAATACAGGATCTTATAGGCCATGAACATAATCCTCAGTGCCAGCAGGGAAGAAGATATTTGCACAGGCAAGTTTTATAACTGAGGCCATGAACAGGGAAGGGTGAGTGCCTCAGCTTGCCTGGTGGTGGGGCTGATGGGAGCTCAGAGAAGGCCTCTCAGAGGATGCAGTTCCTGAGCTGAGTGTTGAAGCATGAAAAAGAGGCAACTAAGCAGAAGGGGAGGAGCAATCCAAGTAAAGAAAGTGCTACAGCAGAGGGTGCTGAGAGACTGTGGTGTATTCAAGCAAACATGGTAAGACTGGGACTCAGAGAGGGAGGTGAGGAGCCAGGGAGTGGCCAAAAACACACCAGAGGTTGGCAGAGACCGGACTCATTAACTGGTTGATTGATTGATTCATCAAGTGTTTACTGAACACTAGTTCTATGCCAGACATTGCACTAGGTCTGGTAACTCAGTGATGTACACCACAGTCAAAGATTCCTGCTCTCACGGAACTTACCTTCTAGTGGAGGAGACAGGCAAAAACACATAGACAAATAAATGACAAGACCAAGAAATGCCATGAAGAGGGGCCGGCCCCCCCACCTAGTGGTTAAGCTCCTGCATGCTCCAGTTCAGCAGCCCAGCCTGGGTCCCGGGCATGGACCTACACCACTTGCCAGCCATGCTGTGGCACCAACCCACATGCTAAATAGAGGAAGATTGGCACAGATGTTAGCTCAGGGCTAATCTTCCCCAGCCAAAAAAAAAAAAAAAAAAAGGAAAAGAAAAAAGAAAAGAAATGCCATAAAGGAAATGAACAAGAGGCCAAACTAGAGAACATCTTCAGGAGGAGTGTTTAGGGAAGGCCTCTCTGAGGAGGAGATATTTAAGAGACCTGAGGCCTAAGAAGGAACCAGAAGTTAGAAGGGGTGGAGGAAGCACATTCCTGGCCTTGGTCTCAGTGTCACCCTCTCTCTAATTTGATTTGTTTTCCTTTTGAAGCGAGACATGGAAGTCATCAAACAACACTAAGAGAGCTATAACTGCTGGTCTGTCAGAGCCAGGATTCAATTCAAACTTTGCCCCGTTCTCGGGAATTCCGTCTCTTAAGCAGGTTCTGGGCGAAGCCATGTGAAAAATACAATCACGAAATCACCGGTCGGCGACGCATGGAGAATTTGGACACTTCCCAGCCTTCAGAGAGGTCTACAGCTGAAGACCGAAGGGCAATGGTCCTCCTGTGCTCTCAGAAGACCCCTCCGGCTGTTCCGTGGAGGCTGGAACACTGATTTAGGTGAGAGTTTCCGACAGGAGAAATATTCAGGAGGGAGGATCATCACTCAGATCAAGTTATAAAACATTTCCTGCACCTGAGAAGGGTAACGGTACTTGAATTTAACTTTGCTTTTGTTCCTTTAAGTGGGAGTGGCACGTCCGCCCCAGACCCACCCTCACGGCGGCCTCTCCGCCCAGTCCCAGCCGAGGCAGTGAGGAGCGATCCTCGCCCAGCCCACTCGCCTGGTTCCTTGAAAGCGAAAGAACCTGACTCTCCTTCCCGCTTCGTCTCTCCCCCATCCCTCGGGCCCCGCCCCCTGCCGACCTGTTTGGGCCCCATCTCCAGGCCCCGCCTACCCCCGGCACCACCCCCGCGATCCTTCTTGGGGGTCACGCCTCCTTCCGGCTCCTCCCCAGAATGGCCACCTTTGGGCCCCCTCCTCCCTGCCCGGCTTCCGGGCCCGCCTCCTTCTGTCTCGCTTCAATCTTTCCTCCCTTCTGGGCTTCTCTTCAGCCTGGCCTCCAGCCCCTTCCATTAAGAGCCCCGCCTTCTCCAGCCTCGTCCGGGCCTCCCTCCACCCTCGACTCCTCCTCCGGGTACGGCCTCCTTCCAGCCCCGCCCACAGCCCCTCCTTTCAAGCACTGCCCCCGCGTCTGGCTCCGCGAGGCCTCCACGGTCTTCCATGCCCGTCTCACGCTCCTCTCTTCTCGGGTGTCATCACCCTCTCAGCCCCGCCCCGCCTCCGGCTCCGTACTGGTGTAAGCGGGTCTCTCTTCCCGCCCTCAGCCCCGCCTCCCCAGGCTCCTTCTTCAGTCCCTCCTCCTTGTCAGGCCCCGCCCCGGCCGAAGCTCTGGACTTTTCCAAAGCCAGGTTGGGGGGGTGGGGAGAGCCCATGTGCCTGGAGAGCAGGCTGTGTCAGGGCGGGGCTGTGGACTCCTCGCGCTTGTGTGTCCCCGTGTCCTTCCCCGGAGACGGAGAGGGGGAGGGAGGGCCCGGGGCCAAGGCTGGAGCGGTGGGCGGGGCCGATCTGAGGGAAGCCACTCCGGGCGCCCGCACCCCCGCGCGCCTCAGTGGTGCCGGCCGAGGGAAGGACTCGCGGCTGCGGGGCTCGCGCGCCTGTCAGTGTGGTGGGGCGGGCGAGCGGTGCGGGAGCAGGGAGATCTGAGCCGGGAGAAGCTGAGGGGGCGGTAGTGGCGGCGGAGGCGAGTCCCGCGCGTGTGCTCAGCTCCTCACGCCGCGGCCGGGGCCGCCTTCTTCCTCCCTTTCTCCCTCCCTCCCTTCCGCCACCGAGTGCGGCGGCACCTCCTCCTTCCGCGCGGCGCGACTACCTCCAGACCTCTCGGCGCGGGTAAGTGGGGGCCGCGGGCGTCTCCTTAGGGGTGGGGGGGGATTGTCCCTTGTTCCTTTTCTGTCGTCCGCCTCTTCGCGCCGGCCACTGCCCGTTTTTAGAAACTCTTTTTTCGGCCATTCTGGGAGTCCCGGGAGCACGAGTAACTCCCAGCCCCCCCCCCCGCACCCTCCCCCTCCCGGGCCAGCCGCCCTGGGTCGCCGGCCCGGCCCATCCGCGCCCGCTCCCGGCCGCCCTGGCCTTCCCTGCCCGCTTCCTCCCCGCGGGCCAGGCCTGGGCCAGGAGTTGGCGGGGTGGGCCCGCGCCCGCTCGGAAGTTGGAGTCTTTTGTGCTCGCGCCCCGCCCCGCCCCGCTCCGGGAGGGGAGTGGAGGCCGCGCCGGGGAGGCCTCAGGCGAGCCCGGCCGCGGCTCTGGCCCCGGCCCCGGGCTTCTTCCGGCTCTCCCTGGCGGGCTGGGTGTGCAGGCTCCCGGAGGCGCGCAGAACTGGTCCTGCCTCGCTCCCCACGGGCCTGAGCGCCGCCTCGGCCCCCATCTCGGCTGGTCCTGGGCTCATTGCACACCTTGGACTTGGAGAGGAACAAACAGGCCCTCGAGCCGGGGCGGTGTGCCGCGCTTCACGCAGCCCCCTTCGCGGCCGAGCCTCAGTTTGCCGCTCTGTGAAATGGGGGAAAGTCGCCTCGCAAGGTGTTTGTGGATTCATAGAGGGAGCAAATAATGTGAAGCGTTTAATACCAACAAGTAACATTTAATGGACTTAGGAACTTCATAAGCCTTATTTCATTTAATGCTCACCACGGCCTTCTGGGGTCATCTGCATTTACAAAAGCAGAAAACAAGGTGCAGAGAGGTTAAATAATTTGCTCCAGATCAGTTAGTAGCCACAGAGTGTAAAGCCGTGGTGTTAGTACCTGTTATTTATTTCTTAGTATGAGCTTGTGTAATCTCTTAGTGCAGAGGAGATTTTGATTTACCCTTGGGTCACACCGTTACAGACAACTCCATTCTCTCTGACTCCTGGGCCAGTGTCCACTATACTATGGTTGAAAGCTACGGGAGGTCCGAGGGAAAGGAAGTTACTATAATTTTTTGCTAGTATTGCCTGTTATAGGTTGATGGATGCAGGGGACTCTAGCACAACTGGGTTCCTGGGGTTTTGGCTCAAGGAAGGTTTAAGTCATTATAAACAGTGAGTTCTATCCTTTATTTTGTTTATGGCAAGTTCCTCGCCCTAGACCTGGCGTGTTCTCTTTAGTGTTGACATTTATAGCTCCTAGTTGGGGGAGAGGGAGCAGGAAGTAGCTCAAGTCAACTGCTTCAACTCCCTGCCTTCAAATAGGGTTTTATTTCTTCTATTTTCAGATAAGGCCCAGAGGGGTAAAAGTGAACTCAAATTAACTTTGGCAAGTGTTCTTCTAGTTTTCCAGTGTGTTTGATTCCCGGTGTGGGGAGTGTCTAAAAATCAGGCAGGGGAGTTCCTAAGCCACATCTAGAGGAGTCTCCTGATGTTTGCATTAGTTTTTTGGAGTCTGGAGGTCTGCTATGCTTTCCCCTTTCCAAGATTCTGGATTCAGGAGTTGTGGTATGTAGGAGCTGGAAGGAGTCTTACAGACCATCCGGTCCAACTTTTTTTTTATCTCTTTTTCCCCTTTCCCTGTTAACTGAACCTTGGAAAGGGCAAGTTGTCTAAATTCACAGACTGCCTTAGTGACAGAAACAAAACTAGAATTCACACACTTCTACCTCCCAGTCCAGTAATATTTTTATTTCTGCCATACCTTGCCACCTTTTAAGAGGGTGCCATACTACTTATTCATGCCTTAACACCAGGAATCCTGAATAAATTGAAATCACAAGGAAGTTGTTAGTCCCAGCCACTGTCCATGCCTCAAGTTTAGCATTAAAAGGAGGGCAGGTTTTGTGCACAGGTGTTGCAGTTCTCATAAGTCATCACTTTTATTGTACAGTATTTATGGATTATAGTACTCTTCTGTAACCATTATCTGATTTTATTTCTCACAGTTCGGTGAGGGAGTTCCTCAGAGTTGTTTATATCTCCTTTTTACGGCTCTAATTGAGAACTGAGACACAGCAAGGTTAGGGCACTTGCCTTATTTCAATCACTGAATTAACAAGTGAGGAGGACAGGACCCCTCTCATGGGCAGAGGATTTGGTGTGGCATTATGAACTGAGCCTCTCATCGTGTCTCTCTGAGCCTCAATTTTCCTTACCTGTAAACTCTCAAAGGGTTCTGTGGGGACTATGAGAAGTGGCTGTGAAAGTGCATTGTAGTAGTTGCAGGAGTAGGAATAATAGCTAACATTTATTAAGTACTTACCATGTAGCAGTCACTGGACTAAGGACTGTCTGTGGAGTATCTCATTTAATCCTCAGCAAACAGTACCTATGACTTAGGTACGACTATTATCCCTGTTTTACAGAAGAAGAAACAGGCTTAGAGAGGTTACCTGACTTGCTCAGGGTCAAGTAATTGATAGCTGCAGACAATATAATTTTAAAGCTGGTGTGGGGCTGGCCCCGCGGCTTAGTGGTTAAGTGCGCACGCTCCGCTGCTGGCGGCCTGGGTTCAGATCTCGGGCGCGCACTGACGCACGGCTTCTCCAGCCATGCTGAGGCCGCGTCCCACATACAGCAACTAGAAGGATGTGCAGCTATGACATACAACTATCTACTGAGGCTTTGGGGGAAAATAAATAAATAAAATTAAAAGCTGGTGTGCTTTGTTTAGTAAAAATATACATAAGATAAAATTTACCATTTTAACCATTTTTAAATGTATGGTTCTGAGGCATTAAGTACATTCACATTGTTGTACATGTCACCACCATCCATGTCTAGAACTTCTTCATTTTCTCCACCTGAAGCTCTGTACCCATTAAACACTAATTGCCCATTCCCCTCTCCCCCCAGCCCCTGGCAACCACCATTCTATTTTCTGTCTTTATGAATTTGACTACTCTAGGTACCTCATATAAGTGGAATCATACAATATTTGTCATTTTGTGACTGTCAAACCTGGCACTATTAGTGCCTCCCTTAACCTCAGGGTGCTCTGTAAAGGCAAAATGATTATTAATTAGTCCTCATCTGCAGTAGGGTGTGGCGTGCAGCCCAGAGCAGGAACCCGGGCTTGGTTGTACCTCTGGTTAAGCTTCCTCTCCCTTTCCTCCCACTCTGTGTATTGAAGTTCCTTATCACTGAAGCTTTTTTTGGAGGTCTCTGTTCCTTCCTTCTGTGTCTTCCAAAGAGACCTCCTACCCTTGAACTAGAACCCAGGGGACTCCTCACCCTGCCTGGTTTGCACCTGCCTTTCTGACTGTCTGGGGTTTGGGCGTATGGGGCTGCAGTGATCAAGAACAGCAGTGCTGTGACAGCAGATCGGATCAGAACTACTCAGAGGACAATTAAATGGATTGCCTTTATGAAATGCTCCCTCTCTGTGCCCTTCTCTTTTCATAAAGGCAAACAAGAGGGATTAGCTTTTGGGTTCCTAGAAGGTGCTTATAGATTCTCATTGCTTGCAGGTGGTTAAGATGGAGTTAAATGCTGCATTTAGCTTTTCAAAATTCCCTTTGGTTTGACTGTTTCCTTGTCTTTGTGTATTTGGGGGGTGGATGGGATGTGGTGTTTATGTTTGTGAATGGTAATTGGAATTTCGTCCTGATACCAACAGAGAATTGGGGTGGGAGGTGTTCCAGAGATGGGTAATAGAGCAACAAGCACATATCTGAGTATGTTGCACTTTCTTTAAAAATCTGATGGCCCAGCATTGCCTACATATTAAAGTCCAAACCCCTAAGTGTGATAATGAGGTCAGAGTGTGTTGAATTGTTTATTGGATAGAATCTTGTAGTTGAGGGGCTTTAAAGTCAGGTAGACCAACCAGCCACCTGGCCAACATTTGAACTGGCTACCTGTTGAGATTCTGTTTCATTGGGCATCTCATTATTGGCAAGTTTTCCATTCACTGAACAATTACTAAGCATCTGCCACGCATGGTAGTAAGCTTGGGAATTTGGGTGCATACAGCCTAGTCGGGAAGACGCAAGGAAACAGGCAGTGTGAGAAGTGTTGTGACAGGGACAAGCACCATGACAGCACAGAGGAATGATAACTAACCCAGCCTCGGAGGGTCGGGGAAGGCTTTCTTGGAGAAGTTGGTTAAGCCTAGACCTCAAGAAAAAAATCGACATAAGGCAGCAAAAGAAGAGATTTGGGCAGTGAAGGAGGAGATAGAGATAATGTTCTAGGCAGAAAGAATAGCAAGTCTTGAGATGGTGGTGGTAATAAGTGAGATGCTTGGCCATTTACTATATCTGCCAGGCGCTATTCTAAGCATTTAATATGTGCTAACTCATTTCTTCCCATAACTACCGTGAGAGGTACGTACTGTTATTATTCCCATTCTGTGGGTGAGGAAGCAGACCCAGTGGGTTAAATAAGTTTCTCAAGATTCATGGATAGAGCATAAAGCATGAATGGGTGGATGTGGCAAGAGGTGAGACTGTCAAGGTAGACAGAGCAGAGGCCAAGTCATGAAAGGTCTTTGTCCTGGTTGAAGAGTTTGGATTTCATTTTGAGGTGAGGGGGCCATGATCCTGTGTGCATTTTAGAAGGTATCTCTTGGCTGTCTATTTAGGGAGTGGATTGGAGGGCTAGAGCATCATAGGCAAAGAGACCAGTTAGGATGCTGTTGCAGTAATGCAAATAAGAGGTGATGGTGTTTCAAATGAAGGTAGTGTATTGTATGTGTATGTAGAAAGAAGATGGAATTGAGTGATGAGACACAATCAAAGATTGTTGGTGTGGAGGGTAAGGAAGAAATCAAGGATGACTTCTAGATATCTACCTGGTACGGTTGTATGGATGGGGATGCCTTTTATTGAGGTGAGGACATAGGAGAAGGAGCACGTAAGAGAGGGGGGAGGATTTCTCATGCAGGATCTTCTTACATCTGCTTTCATTTACCTTCTAATTATTG